GGCGAATTACAGTCGAAAGCTTAAATTTCTTTGAACCTACAAGTTTAATCTTTCGGAACCCTAAACCGCAGCACTCCAGTAGCGAAAACTGTTGTCTCTTGATGCACCAACTTCGATTAATTTAATTCTGAACACATTTAGTGTATATTTGACGACAAATGGGGCCCGGTAATCTTTAATGTTCCTTAGCTCGTTAAATGGAATATTTGTCTCTGCATTGAATGACCATCACTGGTTGCTATATCAAAAAGAACGCATTTCGAAACTTCGAAAAGGAATATACTTTTGAGCGCTTTTAAGTAACAAAAGAGGAATGGAGAGATCTGGAGACAGTTGGCTTGCGTCGTTCGGATTTGCTGACGTAAAAGCATCCGTCTCTCTGCATTAATCATCGCAGTGGCAAAGTAAACATGTGATTCGTTTCTTATGTTTTTGAGGTGAGAGGTGTTTTCTGTTGTCAGCATCCGTATGTTTCAATATTAATGTTTGCCACGTCTCAGGCACTTTGATTCCTTTCAGACAAAGAGTATGTCTATAAATCTGTTAGAGACAGTTCCATATAATTTTTCTGTTTCGTAGAAGACGGGAATTTAACCACTGATGACGTACCGGGCTTTTAGTTACCATATCATCGGCCTGTGTCTTACCACTGCATTGTGTTGACAAATACTTCTCGGCAGCAAGTGTATAGATGGCGCACAATGTTTGCGGATTCAATTCAGATGCAATTTTAAAGAGACTACTTATCTAACAGTAGCGGAGTTTCTTCCAAGAGAGTGTACGTGCTAAAAAGAGGTACCTCGTTTAGAAACAACCGTTTTTTAAACTTTACATTAGGGTTGTTTAATATTTGTTTTATGTAGGCCTATGCTTTGTTTGAATGTATTTATTAATGTGAGTTACTACGGGCTGGACGGCCGGGGTTCGACCCCCGACGGGGGCAGAGGATTTTTCCTCTAGCCTCTGCGTCCAGACAGGCTCTGGGACCCACCCAGCCTCCTCTACAATGGGTACCGGGGTCCTTTCCCGGGGGTAAAGCCGGCCGGGGCGTGATGCTGACCACTCACCCCCATCTAGTGCCTAGGTCAAGAAGAGAGGAGCTATACCTCCACTCACCCCAAACGCCTACATTGCGTATAGTGGAACAAACTTTACATTACTTTTACCGGTGACGTTGAGTCGACCTGTTAACCAAGAATCTGAGTTACAGAATTTGGGATCTGAAAGGGGTAAAACCTGCCTGGAGGAATTTCAGCTTCTGGATAATATGTATTACGTAAGATTTCAGGTTATCTCGGCTGCAAGTATTAAAATGACTGTCTTCTGGGATGTTGCACCGTGTTGTCTAATAGAAGTTTGCCGACGTTTCAGAGGTAATTATTGATGCGGGCAGTGAGCACTTCGGAAACATCGGTAAACTTCTACTAGACTACCCAGAAGACACCCATGTTCAGACTCACGCCGTGAAACCTGAAATCCTACGATGGGCAGAACTTCGCAGACCGTCTGTCGGTTGTGGTATTCTGAGTTTTGAGCCGACTATTCTCGTAGGTAGTCGCCAACGTTTCGGAGGAGCATTTGCTCCCATTTTTAGGGTCAGAAGACCACACCGCCGTTAGAACCATAAATCTAAGCTTGATTGTTGGAACGATTACCCGCAAACGAATGATTAGATGAGTGGAACATAATCACTCATAGGGGAATTGATTAATGACTATAAAATGATGGTTGTAAAACCTCAAGGAAACAAAAAATATGATAGGTCGGGACATAGATTTGAGACTGCCGTAACAATACATTCAGATAATTTTTTTGTCAGTTGCCTAATTGGAGATACATCGTCGCAAACCCTAACGATCACAAAGAGAATTTAACGAGAAAGCTGCGTAGAAAAAAGTTGAATGGGGCTGAATTTCGATCATGTCGATTTCCGGGATTTGACGCTTTGTAAAAGCGGTGGTGAACTTCCGGTCTCTGATACCAGAAGGTCAGTTAATTAGTTAATATAGACGACACATTTTGAAACGATAGCTAATGCCAACGACTTTAAGTGAAGTGGTCAAAATTGAAGTTGCGTTGATCGGGCAGCCGTCTTCGGAAGATTAATCTCCACCCCGTAAGTGCAAGGGGAAACTGAACAGCCATTAGGGGTGGGCGGGGTCGGATTACTTTGGGGTGTTGGAGAAACTCATCCGTCACGCGGAACAAATGATTCTTCACTTCGTCGGCCTCGTGCCCTCGCCGTGTAAGAACTCTGCTGTTATTCTTCCCTGTCGCTGTTCTTCCAAATATTATATAAACATTTATCGAGACCGTACACCATAATAACATATTCAGGGGGGAAAAACGTAACAAAACGACTTTAAAATCACGGCAGCGCGTTGCGTAAAACGTTTTCATGGCGATCTTGGACAGAAACGTTATGGAAAGTTCCGGGTTCGGTTCTGATCGCCGATATCGGTAATCCGGACTGAGATTCTTGTAACGTTCCTTAGTCCTCCCTTAGAATAGGCCACAGTATATTCTTTGTACTTTTTAATGATCGTTCTTTTATTAAATGATACGTGAACTTATGCAGCTGAAAGACTCGTTGAGCAATCTCTCGACTATTCGTGTGGACAGCTATTTTAGGCCGCAGTTTCGAATCCCGCGTAGGATCTTGATGCTGATCGCCTATATAAGGAGCCATATCGCTTCTGTAAGTTACAGAATGCTTAGTCGAAATAAGCAACAAGAGGATTTTCGAACTTTTCACAGAAATGTAATTGCTCAAAAACGTTATATTCACTTTTCTATTAATTTGATGGAGCTTCATATTAGTAGGTGCGTCAGTGTTATTTCAGATTCTTAGAGAAACAATCTTAAGTACCTGTGTAACGTCTCGGTAAGTGACTTATTCACTCGGCTGATCATTAGTCAGTGAATCAATCTGTCATCCAGCCGGCCATTACGGTCCTCAGGCAGTCAGCGAATCAGTCAATATTTAAATTTAAGCAACGTTTGTTTGTTTGTTTTAGTGTTTATAACAGAAGCAGCTAATGTATTTTATATGTACGTCTGTCTGTCTGTCACAGCTTTCATGAAAGTCTGTGGTCTGAATGAAAGAAATTAAGGAGACGTGTATCTGAAGATGTCTGTCTTCTGGGTTGTTGTTTCGTGTTGTTTGATAGAAGTTTACCGACGTTTCGGAGGTCGTTGCTGCCTCTATCATAGAGACTACACGGCGCAACAACCCAGAAGACAGCCATTTTCAAACTCACCGCCGTGAAAACCTCAAATTCTATACAGACGTGTATCTGTCGCATTTTTGACTTTGGTGTTGTTATAACACAGCGTCATACAGAGTATTTGAATTTTCCTTATAGAAAGTGTTGAACTTCGTATAGTCGGCGTCTCTGAACTTACCTAGCATCTGGACCGCGACGAGTAATATCATAGCCCTGTGCAGTCTAAATCTTCGAGTTGCCATGTTGAGCATCCTGTAACAGAAATCCAGGTTTTAGGGACGTGGCTGGCATAGTACGCACATCGCATTCTCTGAAGTGATAATTGCTGTGTTCTGGGACGTTGCACCGTTTAGTCTCGTATATATTGACTGAGAGTCATCACTTCTGAAACTTCGTTCAATTTCTGCGAGACTACTTGGGGGTAACACATCAGAAGATAAACATATTTGTACTCGCCGTCTTGAGAACCTGAAATCTCACAAAGTTTGAAGGGAATTTCTTCACAATGGGCGACCCGCAGTGTTGTCACAGGTTCCTATGAATACGCTGAAAACACTGTCCTCAATATTCTCGCGGCATCGTGTCCGGTTGGACGCCTGGATAGGAAGCTATCCCACACAACTGCAGAGTCGGAAAGGTAATCTAACTGGCACGGCGGTCTCTAATATTACTGATTCCTTTTGTATTGATAAAATTTGATAAACTGATTTGGCCTTATTTGATGACACTGTATTGATAATTAAGATATGTAGCGTACATATTTGTGTGAACTGTCACTTCGTTTAACAAACCGTGTGTCTGGTCGAGTTTTCACGCATTTGAAATCCATAGAGATAACTTGAAAGGAATGCGTGAAGAGAATTTATCACAGTTGTGGGCCTCTAACAGTTCTATCTCCGTTTGATCACGCAAGCTCCGATGCAAGAAGTTTCGTTGGTGACTGGTTTTCTTTGTAATAAACAGCGTGTTCTTAAAAATATGCAGAAATAATCGTGATGCTAATCTTTGTGAGTTCTTAGATATTCTTATTTTCTGTTTGCATTTTTTTCCACTTTGCATAAACAATATCAACAGCGCGGCTTCGTGCAGTTATTTTTCCCCTCCCCAGAAACAAATTTCTGACTCATGGAGATATCAGGTTCTCACGGTAGCTGATATGTAGGACAACCCGAGACCCGATTATAAGGAGGATCGCGGAATTCTGCTAATCCAGCCCGAAATAAATATGAGACGCAAGAATTAATGACAATCGATGTTGTAGTGAAAGACTGTCACCTAATTTTCGTTCGTAATAAAACGCCACTACCAGATTCCATAAATCGAGACATATGATTTGTTTACCCCAACAGCGAATAAAGACACATAACCACATGAGTCATGCAGTGTTCTTTCAGTATTATATGGGTACTTGTAAAAGCAACACGGGTCCAAAATGACTGAAACTTATAATTCCAGATGCAAAAGATCTTGGCTGTATAAAACAAAATTAGATACTTGTCAGTTATTCTTGGAGGAAATAACAGCTCGTCTAAATGTTTAAGAATTCAGTCCGCACCTCCAAGAAAACACTTAAGAAGGACCGATTGGTTAATGCTGTGTAAGGAAATAATTCATTTGTGCAATACGAATTATACGAAACTGATAAATACTAAATATGGATCAAGTGATTGTTAAATGAGATGGCACATATAGTTACCACGGGACTTTAAAGGGTTAAGTGGTTTTTATATGTAAAGAATAACAAAATTTCTACCACTTTGCTGTTGCAACAATGTCATTATAACAATATGGTTTATAACTAATTCAAGTTACCACAGTGAAGAATAAAGTAACAAAGTTTCAGCCACGTCGCTGTGGCAGCATTGTGACTGCAGTGGTGTTTAAACGAGTCATATTTTTACCTTGCTTATAATAACAAGTACTAACAAATGTGCTACCGCGTTGCTGTGGTAGCACTGTGATTGTGATATCTCTTACCTGGTTGCTGTCGGACGGACGCCGTCTCTATGCTGTGAGTTCTG